CAGCAGATGATGTGTAGTAAGGGCAGGCCGGAATGGTATTTTTCGCCATTGCGATTTAACGAATTGTGGACAAATCGTCAATGTCGGATCTGTCCAGGTCTCCCATGATGGATTGGAATCGTCCATATTTTCCACCAATAGATCGTAGAGTGCGACGCCCCTGTTCGTAATTCTGACATTTCCCAGAATTGGAGGGCCATCGAAATCGTAGATGCATTCGTATTTCCACGTGAGCTCTTGCAAAGGAGATGCATACCACCCGTGTTCCGAATATGTTAAAGTAGTCATGTCGGTAGGTATGTCGAGCAATACGACTGTGTGCTTGAAAGCGGGGCCGGTGCGACCATCTCGCACACCCAGAATCAGGTATGGCATCTTTGGATGGAAATGCAACGAGAACAGCGTGAAATTCTAAAGATTTTTAATCAAGAAATAGTCAGGATTTGAAGGAAGGTCTCACGGGATTCAAGCGATCGACCTCCGATTGCTCGCTTGCAGCATTGCTGAAAGCAAGTTTCCCACCCGTACCATCGCGCCAATTGATCACATAGAGTTGCCGTTGGCAAACAAGAGCCAATAGCGTATCAGTCACAGCAACATTTTCGACAGTTTCTGGAAGACTGATTGAAAATATCGGCTGTACAAGCGGCGAGTCTTCAGGCGAGTCTTCACTGCTGGAAGGCTCGAGCATGTTCAACAATACAACGAGTCTGCGAAGATATGAGTTTACAAGGTACTTGAGCAATGCAAGAGTAAAAACAAACGTTCGGTCAGGTCCCGCCCTCTCAAATTCACACAGCGCCGCTACAATGTAGGATTCCGTAGTCGTTTCAACTGAGGCGCAGTGATAAATTGTTCCACCGAGCTCAGTGGTGAACGGTGTCTGATTGCGATCAGCGGGTTTCAGGAATATGGCTTTTTTGTTTTTCGAGACGAGAACCCAGCCACTCCCTCCGATGGTGTGGACCACAGGGCGCGTCGATTTTCGATTTCCAGTCCAGTGATGGAGTTTGGTGAGGCTACGCGGATAGCACAATCTTTCACTAAATTTATCGGAAAGATATACTGAACGAGTTGCAAGACGTGGAAGGAGTTCCAAAGCGACTGTGTCGAGTGTAAATCCCGGAGGGATTGGAATCGTGTAGGCATCTTCTGTTTCAGACCAGAGCTGGCGTTCACAGCATGCGATGGCCCTAAAGTATCGACACGTCTATGAAGACAATAAGAGATGAATCAATGAGCAGCTTTCTTAGTACGGACCTTTGAGACACTCAAAACGTCACGAACTGTGCACCCTTTCACAATCTGGAACAAAAGCTCCACCGGTATGTCTCGAAACGTAGCAGGCATTTGTGATGGTTATGGTGATAGTCGATGGAGAGTATAGTGATGATGGGAAGCAAGACAATCAGCAAGATGATTGTGTTGGTTTCGATAAGATGAGAGACAAGGAATTCCGAGACATGGCCAAGTCAAAAGCGCTCAGCCTGATGTCGGAGAACAAATAAGCGCTTTGACTCGGGTCGGGACTCCGGATCCGTGCCGACGGCATTATTCCCCGCAATATCCGCTGAATTTCCTCTCTTTTTTGTCTTGCTCTCTCTTAAGGTGTAAGTTATCACCGTTGAATATACCTCGGTGACGGAATTTATGGAATACCATCTCCAGGTCAAAGGGCTGAAAAGAATGCTCTTCTCTGGCCGCACCAGTCAGTAGCATGAGATTTTCACACGGGTGGATCAGACTTACTAGTATTTGTTTATTGCTTGACAAATTCTAGCCACTCTTTCGTTCTCCATACAACAGTACCTACACCGTGATACTGATACACTCACACGTGCGTTCACAGACTCGCTTTTGCCTGAACCTCTCCCAAATAGCATGTGCTACTCGTATTCGGTCATTGCCGACTGCTTTAGGTTACCGACTAAATTTACGTCCGTTAGTAAGAGTCCGCCTCTGCGACGCTCAATGTCTGTGAAACTTCGAGATCCTTTCCCTATCGATCTGAGTCCCCGAGTCATAAATGACGGGCGCATCGTATGAACGTTCTTGCCGCACTCTTGGTGTGAGAGAGTCTCGTAAACTCAGGTTAAAACCGCTTTGTTCCCATTATCTGTTGAGGCCGATGAATGAAAGTTCCGAGTAGCTCCGACTCTCAGCTATGTAGATCAGGGTCCTTTTTTGGAGGTTTGATGCCCATTGGATATTGTATGAGTGAGAATCGATCAAATGTGATCAGATTTGGACAACCGTGAGTTCAATGCCTTTCAACTTGTGCATCAGCGAGGTTCTCGGATTGACCTTCCCGTGAAGTTGGCCGTATATGGAATCAAGACTTTCGACTGTGGCTTCAGGTCCTCAGCAACGCCGCAAACGCCTCGTGAGTCAGACGACGTTGCATAACCCACGTACTGAAAGTCTGGAAGAAGGTAATAGCCCTGTCGTTCGCGTAGTCGATTCCGATGGGGAAGCCAAGTGAACGCACATGCAAGCTGGAGAGTGTCCCATACCGCCGGTCATTCATTCATACAGAACAGCCACCGCGCAGGTGCATCTCATGGGATATAAATGAAGTGGAGCATGCCTGCTCTGACTAGTGACCAGTAGCCACCTTCTGGAGCAAACCAGCATCTCTGCTCTCCCAGCACAACTTCTTCGCTTGAAAACCTCGATACATCGAGTCACCTCTCATATTGATTCACTATGAAGTTTCTTGTCAGTTCAGTCTGCGCTTGCGCTGTCGCTGTCAACTTCATGGCCGTGGCTGTTGGAGCAGCACCATTGGGGGCCGTCTATCGTACGCCCTTGCCTTTCACCACCTCTTAAATTCGTCTGAAAACACCCTAGTAATGACCAATGTGGAATCCGGAAACTGGATTGTGGCGCATAACATTCAAGCTGGTGGAATCTTGGTGAGTGCAATAGGGACATTAACTCGCCGCAATGTTGATCAAAGCTTCAGACTTTTGGGAGTTTCACTCCGACAGGTGGCAAAGTACGACGCTCATCAATGGCATCGTCATGCGTGCTCATCGTCTGACCAGGGACTACATGGTACAGATAGTCCTCCGCCCAATACTCCGGATGCGACCTTCTCGCAAGGCACTGTCAAGGTACACGGAAATAATCTTTTCGTCACCAATGTCAGTTCCTATCTTCATGATCGATCGGAGGAGGATCTCGCTTACCTTCGTGGCAGCCGGGCTCGGGTAGCATCGCCATGTTCTCAATCGACACGACGAGCCCATCAGTCCTGACTAGGATTGGTACCTTTGATAGTGGAGGCGAATTTCCCAACGCTATCGCGATCTCAGCACAGACCGGTCATTGTAAGATTCTTGATCTTCTGATATGTCCATAGCTGACATTCTGACTCAGTATGTGTCGCAAATGGAGGAGCCGTGAGCGGAGTCCAGTGAGTTATATTTTGGACAGAAGTCTTCTCCGTCTGACATTATACGAGATGTTTCACAATCGACCAGACCAAAGGGCTGTCAAAAATTCCCGGAGGCTTCCGTACTTTGGGTCTCACTCAGACCACACCACCACTCGGGCCCGGAGGAACAGTCTCTGGTCTTCTCTTTTCGGAGGATGGAAGCAAACTGTTTGTCGCTGTTAAGGGTTTCCCCCCAACGCCAGGTACGCTCTCGAGAGCCGATAATGTTGGAGCCCTAATATCGATCCGCTCATCATTGTCAAGGGTATATTGCAACCTTTACCGTCAGCAAATCTGGGGTTTTATCAAACACCTTTACAAAGTCTACTCCCCCCAACGGCCTTCTACCTTTCGGAATGTCTACAATTCCCGGCACCCAAGGCATCATCAACGCTGATGCAGGGGCCGGATTCACGGTCTTCGACTTCTCCAACGGAAACACGGCCAAGTCTGCTATTACGACGCCTTTGAAAGGACAAGTAACTCCGTGCTGGACTGTCTTTTCCCAGAAAACTCAGACTTTCTTCTTGACGGACGTCGGCGCCGCTACCATCAGTGAGGTCTCCGTCGACAAGTCGACACTGAAAGCCACAGTTGTCAAGGTAAATCTTCCTTAGTATCCTTGAGAGGTCGGATGGTGACCTCTTGACTATCTCTTATAGCAATACCAACAAGAAGTAAACGCGGCAACAGCTGACGATGACATTGCAACCATCCTTGGGAACGAGTGAGTAATCCCGCTAGCGTCAACGAACTGGACTGATCATCGATTCATCAGCTATCTCTATGTTTTAGAGGGCAACAACACTTCAGTCGGCGTCCTCGCATTGCGTGGCCCCGGCAAAGCAGTCCACATTCAAACGACAAATTTCGCACAAGTCGCTGAGGACGCGGGGATTACTCTCGAGCCGATCAATTTCCAGGGCATGAGCACTTGGGTCAAGGCAACCTAAATCGAGGTTATACACCTGTAGTTGATGCGATCGAACGAAGAACCAGAAGCGATAAGTTTAAAACTGAGGAACATGATTGAACAAACATCTACATCAGTACAGTCCACAGACCTCCTGACAGATCGAACCATGGACTGGCCTGCATAGAGATCCGCCCGCTCTTCATTACAGCAACATTGAGTGTGCGAGAGCGTTATTACAAATAAGTTTCCAGTGATTCCTTGCAGCTATTCTACTGAGGACTTGGTTGAGGATATATTTACGAAATCTAGTAGCTGAGTTCAGCTCGTACTAGTACCTGATATTAGTAAGAAAACGTCATCACAGCGACGAAGCTTGTCGAGACATGTTAGCGCTCCGACACGCTGGTGCACTTGGGACTCATGGGAGGCGAAGGGTTTGCGGTTAGTATACCGGTATATGTTCTTTAACGTCACACTTCATATCGGGCGCGTGACGCAGTCATTGGGCGCAGTTGGTGTGTCGAGACATCTGCAGATCTGGCGGATGTAACAGCGACAAGCCTGCAAGCCTGGCGACACGGGCAGCGGCATTGCGAAATAAAGTTGTTGTGGTTATAGGTCATTGTTTCCCTCCGATTTCAATTCGGGCACGTGGCGCAGCTGGTAGCGCGCATGCTTAGCAGTAAGGACCGTGGGAATGTCATTACGTAATGCATGAGGCCTTGGGTTCAAGTCCCAACTTGTCCATTCTTTTAGTTTTTGAATATTCCTTCGTGCTTTTTGAACGTTGGAGGCTTTGTTTCAGGGCTTTTACAATTTTTTAGGGCAATTTTCGCTTTGTTCCCGCGATTTCCGGTGAATTTTTGTGATTCGAAGTCATATTTTGCCCTGCACAATTGCAAAAAAGGTAGGACTACTGGCATATCAACTTCTTATTATAGTTGGGGTCGTACAATGTGACATAGCGTGCTCAACATCATCTTGTTTCGTATCTGAATTCAAGGAGGCGCCCACGGCAAGTACCGAACATTTCTTGGGTTCAAGTCCGAACTTGCCTAATTTCTGTCCGGCTCAAATAGACTTGTCTTTCCTAGTGCGATACGCATATCAACTACATATCAGAATAGAGTCAGTCGAAGGGAAACGTAGGGCGGAATCGAGAACCGGTGAGTAGGGAAAACAAAGCAGACTGTGCGTCCGACTACACGGATGCGAGTGCTATGGAGCTGTGATGTTCACGCGCTGCTATGGAAGTTCCCTGTAAGTGCTGTCCCGATGCTCTATAAACAGGATCTGTCTACAGGCGCCATGTGTCTACATAGCGCTACGAAGCGACTCATAGCAGTACAATTATGTTACCGGCCACGAAAGGCGTTTCCTGATGCTCACAACCCCGGTCGGTTTTCTCGTTTGATTTGATTGTTTCATAGCGACTCGCGAGCTATCCATGAGTTTCGAAGAGACCTCACTCGCGGGAAATACAGCAAGGCAGTGATCACTTATGTGGTCTTCTGGTCAATCAGACACGGAAGAAAGATGTTCACGAGCTGAAATCACAGTTTGGTTGTCGTGTCCTGCCAGTGGATGTATCCCGTTAATGCAAATGTCTAGTACACCTGACAAGAGCCAGCAGGTGAGTTGCACATGCTGATCAAGTGATCATCAAGATGACGAAAACGAATGACCGTGGTATTGTTACAGCTACATCAGCAAATGGGATCCAGGCATCAAAGTACCTCCATAGTGCGACACAGTCGTACCGAAATCCGTATGGTGTGGTAGCAATCGGTACGTCTACCACTGTAGCAGCGAGGCGAGTTCGAATTGATTGACAAGGCCTATATATTAAGAGGATATGGCAGTGGGTGTGGTAGAACTTTTGGACTCTGACGGGCCCGTACGGCAATACACCATGCCCATCGTTGAGGACGCTCACAGCTACAGGATAATCACAACTTTGACGCCTCCGGCGATGTCTCGAGACGTTATCGACAGACGTTCTCTCGTAACACCCGGTCCTTTCCAACTCTTTGCTTTCGCTTTACTCCTGACTGCTCAGGTGGGACTAACGTTCCTTCTTGTCACACTCCTCCTTGCCAAAGTTCGACGTACGCTTTCCTTTTATAACCTCCTTGTTATCACATGGGTTCTGATCCCTATATATCTACTGCTGTGAGATCCACATGCAACTTCAACTTTCGACCCCGATTGTTGACTTTCAGTGCTAGATTCTATACAAAGCAATATGATGTCCCCCAGGTTCACGGCGATATTTGTGCTGCTCAGGCAATACTGAAACACGGGGTCGACTCCGCGTCAGTCATGATGCCGTCATCGTAAGCCTGAAGACTCTAACTTTTTCATCAGCTTTCTTGTTGCGCTCTTCTTGCTGGCGTTCGAGGTACTCTAATTCTCAGTTCTAATCTTTCTGATTGGCTCAGTTGCAAACTCTTAGTCCTGGCGGTTAGCAAATTACGGGATGCAGAATCCTCCAGTCGTTTTTCAGAGAATTTTGGTAAGATACTCTGAGTTTTGGACGGCACAGTGGGATGATTGCTCCTCAGGTCATGGCATTACCGTATGCCCACTTTTTCGCTTCCTCAATATTGGTTTTCATAGTAAGTTCACATCCTTGTCCGTATGATAAGTTCTGACTGAATGGCAGCGTGGAAAAACCTCATTGGCTCGCAAATACGTGCCATACTATTCCTTGTACTGCATATTAGATGGGGACCACACACTGTATACTATAGTGCCTTCTGCATGCGTCATCTGCCAGTTTGACATGAATTACGTAGAGATGCCATTGAAAACGCTGAACATGCAGTCATGATGCTGGGCACGATACTCTATGAAGGTTGGTCACTCAATCGTGTTGATAAGATACTGATGCCGTTATACAGTGAGGACCGCACTCGTCTGTAGGAAGATGACGAGGGCGGCAGAAAACATGGACATCAAGAATGACTTGGGATTTTCAACCTTTGTTCGTCTCAGTGTCTTCACCATCTGGCTCTTGATCGGGTAAGAATAGACCACATTTTCAGCGAACTCACTTGAACCAGTCCACAAGTCTATTCTGTGTCCTGAGCACGGCGTCAGCCAAGCCTAGTGTCCGTGGGCATTCTGCGTCAAATATCGCTATTCATCCTCTTTTCATGTGAGTAGCAAGCATTATCAGAAGAATTTGTCTGAACGCTCCAAAGCGCCGCTTATGGTTTTCCTGGTCTTCTCGACTCAGAATGTGAGCCGTTTGATTGTCAAAATTTTCTCATGGCCATAACCGTCTCAAGGACATCATTCGCTTCATATTTTGTCGTCGGCCAGTGACAAGATCGCCCCAGAGGCCCATGGAAGCCTCGCCTTTGGATGGATCTCGGACGCTCGAGATCAAGTAAACTCCTTCAAGGGTTCTAGATGAGTAAGGATCTATGCGAAATAACGGAGAGCCTTCGCTCAGGTATGTCGATGGGCCCTTCGTTACAATGTAAGAATGTATAGGGCGCCTTGAAGGAAGCTGAATTCCGAGTCACACCCAAAATGCGAGTACGTATCGAGCAGATATTTTCGCACAATCGCACTGAGCAGTTGCCTCTTCTCATCGTCAATAAAATCAAGTTGAACAAAATACTAGTATTGTCGGCTACACTGCAGTTTCTGCCAATGTGAACGTCAAGGACGCACGTGTCTTGTATAACATATCAATGTACTGTTTTGACTACTTCATCAGCTTCAATAAGGCATATCGATGCAAATAAATGGTCGACAGGAATGGTCGTTGTGTGAGTGACTGTGACATCATTATCGATCATGACACCGCGTGATGTCACATCACGCAACGCTCAACCTCGACCGACCGCATCCACATCCACATCCGCACTTGCATCTGTAGCTCATTCAGAACGCATCTTCCACCCATTTCTCTTAATTGCAACCTCCATTGCCCACACTGGTTTGGAGCCGCCGACTGCCGCTTAACGAACAACCGCTTTGATTCTTCAACCCTTGACAGCAAGTTCAGTCTGAAGACTCTGAACAACCAGCAACTCGAGCTCGCACCAACGAGGGAGCGTAAGTCCTGTACTGGTGATTTTCAATCCTTTGGCATATTCATACGATTACTTCTAGGGGAAAACATTGGAATCCATCGCCAGAAGAGTTTCTGAATCAGGGTCATGACGCGTCACTGCGTAGTCTGCGGGGTCCCGACGAAAAAGGCTTGCACCGGATGCTCGAAAACTCCTTACTGCAGCAAGAAATGTCAAAAGGAGAATTGGGTCTTACACATCCTCGAATGCGACAACCCCGGACGCGAAATCACCACCGCAGACCGACTTGCAGCAGAGGTCGCCCACCCTGGCCAGATTTTCCACGAACAGACGTTTATCGATTATGGGTTTCTCTCTCTGGCTAGTCGCGAAGATAACACGGCCCTTCACAACGTTTACCATGACGTTTTTATGGTCGTTGGCATGAAAGCTCCCATGATCCATCAATGGCGCTCGAAGGGACACTCCACACCGCACTCCTCGAGATCTATAGGGCAACAGGGTCTCTGCTTGATCATGCCAACTTCATTTGGCTCTCTCAGCATCCCGATCTATTTGGCTCTGAAATTGTTGGTCGCAGCAGCGAAAAGAGACGAGACGCTGTCATGACAGTGGTGTGGGCGCATCTAGGTGGTTCGGAGGGCACTACTCATGAAGAAATGGAAGAGGAAGTTGCGAAGTGGCCACTGTACAAGCTGATCTGCTGGGAGTTTTACATCATCGTGTTCAGTCATTGCAGCCCCGCCGTGAACAGCCCTACTACCTGGCTCGCATTCGGCTTCTGTCTCTTCACCGATAATCCGACTCGTCAGCCAGACGGTCCTCTCGGTTATCCGCTCCGCCCATTGTATTCGCAGCTCGTTCAGCGATGCACTTTCGACGAATTCTACGAAGCGTTCACCACGGCATCCCTCATTGCGCTCATGGACAAGTATGGATTGAAGGACGAACGCACTTCCATGCCTCAAGCCCAGGAATTCGAACGCCATCTCTCCCAATCTCCCAATCGATACCCAGATGTATGGGGGCTCAAGTCTTTCATCCTGTTCCCTGATCAAGGTCCTATGCCATCCCTCCTCCTCTTTGGATTCCACAATTGCCGCGACAATAAGGACATTAAGCAGCTCAGCGGAGTCTACTACACTCTATTCGAAGACTTGGAAGTCCCGCCTTTCCAAATCCTGGAGGCTGCAGAGAAGGATCGTCTCTTCGAATTGATAACAACGCTTCCCGGATACCATCTCAGCAATACAGACAAACGCTTTCTACGCCGCGTCCTCAACACAAAAAATCGCCTTATCTTGTCGAAGGATTTCAAACTCACTCCCGAAACGATGAAGAAAATCCTACCTCGCCGAACTTGACCTCCTTATATTCGTCGTCAACACTTTTCCACAGCGCCATACATCCTTTGGCTACTTCTGTCATGTGTCTAATCTTCTTGAGAATGTTCCTCGTCCTTGCTATGTATAATACTAGTGTATACAATTTTCTGGTATCCTGAATCTTGCTGATGGTATGTGGCCCGTCGGAGTTTCAAGAGGTTGAGCTGGCAACGGAGGCGTTGGCTCCGTCGGAAAGCTACTGTCAGTGTCATCGCCATCACATACATCCTCAAGCTCAGACTCAAATTTCCAAGCTGCCAGATTCATATCAAGATACTGCATAGCCTATTATTCTCGAAACGTCGCCTGTCCG